TCTCAAATGGGTGCCATGCAGAAGCTGTGAGTTAGAGAGGCGCTCAGCTGGTGACAGAGGGGGCTCAGGAGAAGGAGCATCGTGGCAGCTCTAGGGGGATCAAGAGATCAAGAGACACAGGAGCTGGGGCCAGATAGTGTTAGAGGGGTTACAGTCAACCCTTGATCTCACCTTTGTGTTTCCAAAAACAAACTTGCAGACAGCAAAAAGATCAGTGCTGATATCATGGTTAAAATCATCCCAATCCTGCACAGCTACATCACACATACCCTCTGAACAACCACTTGTTGGCTTTGTTAACTGCTGCTCAGGATACTGCCAGGTAAGGTACTGCAGGTCCTGAATGCAGCTGGAGGGCAYGAACCTACCTCATCCATTAGGAGAGGGTTACCCACAGGGCAGCAGTGAAAACAGGAGCTGTGACCCAGCAAGAGATGCTCAGGCTATGACGAGTCAGCAGCAGAGCAGACACTTGCTCCTGAGCCTGGGATGAGGAGGCAATGTCCCCAGCCCTCCCTTTCATGACAACAGAGGCAGTAAAATGGGGCCAGCAACATGGGACTGGCATAGGGGAAGCACCTCCCACTGTCTGGCAGCACTTTACAGCGGATTGACATTGAAATGCTTGCTGCAAGGAATCCTGTGCTCCACACAAAGATGGGAGATCATTAAAAGGGCTATCAGGGGACATGCTGGCAAGGAGGCAAGGCTAGCACAGGCAGCTGCCCCAGCAGAGGAGCTGTGGATTGCCTGGGGGCTCCTGGACATCATGTCAGAGGTGTCAGAGGTAATGGCAGAGTTCTGAGCAGGCACTATTAGTGTGAGTAGTGCAGGTGGGTTAGGAAAGCGGGCAGTTAGGTCAGCAGAGAGGTTGAGAGAGGGCTTTCCCTGCGCTCCTCTCCTGGCTCGGCACTAGGCTGTCCCTGGCTACAGAAGATGCCTACAAAGGGCTGGAAGATCAAAACCAGAACAAAAACCCCAAATGCTGTAGGATCGCTGCTGGCAGGCACTGTTGGCTGCTCTGCCTGGCCATAGGCACCCCGACAGCCCTGGCATCCACAGCCATGGAGGACAGACCCCAAGGGACACCAGTGCCACGTCCTAGTGGCACAGAGCTGCTGGTGTGCCCGGCACAGGCTGCACAGAGACGATGGCYGCAGGCAAGGAACTGGATCCCAGCGGCTCTCTGGCCACGGAGCAGCTTGCCCAAGGCTATGTCACACTGCCTGAAAGGCTGTGGGACAGCCAGCAACCAGCAGCTGCACACACAGTGTCATGGGTGCCTTCAGGCAGTAACTGCACCTCAGACTACATCAGGGGGAGGGGGCCAGGACCCCCTCCTAAGCCAGCAAGTTAAACAGCTGCAAGTTCCCAGTCGCCTCCAGCAAGCCGAACACTACAGCAGCAGCTGCCATCACACATGAAGGTGCAGCAGAGTAAGGTGAATTGCTGCAAGACACAGTTCCCTAGCAGGGCAGGTAACAGGGAGTGCCAAGGCCCCTACTTTGGCACTGCCCACCACAGGCAGCACCCATCCGGAAAGCCTCACACCACAGTCTCCCTGCCAGAGCAAAAGGCAGCAGCTGAAATGCTTCCTGAGCATTTGCTCAGATCTCTGCCATCAGGGCTGTCTAGCCAGCCCTAGGCAGACAGATTCCCCCACAACACAAACTAGAGCAGTTGCTCCCCAAAGCCTCTGTGGAGCCCAGGGTCTGGAGAATGTTTGCAGGGGAATGGTGCAGCACTGGCTGGCAGTGCCAGGGAGGGTATGGCACCGCTGGTGACAATGGAAATCTGTGACTGGGCCCACCTTGTCCCGCTCCTTGCGGATGCTGGAATCCAGACTGGAGAGCTTCTCCTGCAGCTGCTGCACTGCTTCCTGCTCCTGCCGCAGCCGCAGCACCTCTGATTCCCGCTCACCCTGGAGCAGCGCCCGCTCCATCTCTGCCTGGACAGCCAAAGCAATGTCAGAACATTGACATGCATGGCTGCTCCAGCTGCATCCAGTGCATGCCCTTAGGATTCAGTGCACACTAGTGARGGCAGCGAGCAGCAGGGGACAGCACTGTCCCCTGACCCCTCACCTCTCGTGATGTCTCCTGCAGCTGCTGCTCCAGCTCCTTGACACGGCCCTTCAGCTGCTCCAGGTGGCCAAGGACGCTAGCGCGCTCCTCCTCCAGCCGCTGCGCCTCCTTGGCCCGGGGGCCTGTCAGCTTCTCGTGCTGTGGAGAGGGATGGTTGGAATGGCACAGGGCACCACGSCATAGTGCAGAATGGCACAGCTGTTCCCTTACCTCATGGTGGGTACTCTCAGTGCTGCTGCACTCCTCCTTCAGGTTCTCCTCATCCGACCTCTCCAGGCTCTCCCTCTGCTGCAGCTCTTGGACAGCATGGCCCGCAGCCATGGCCCCCCTGGGCACCCACCGGCCAGCATCTGTGTCACTAGCCAGGAGCTTGTGCACATTGCCTGGCTCAGTGCCATCTGTCTTGGTGTACTCAGCACACAGGTTCARGATGGTTTCCAGGCGCTGCCGCTCCTGTGGACACGGATGGTCAGTGAGGTGCCCACCCAACCAGCACAYGCTGTGGCAGAAGCAGATGGAGCCCCACACCAATGGTGGCCACCAGAATATGGGCCCACATGCTGGGATGGACATGCTGGGATGGGCGGGGTGACATTACAAAGCACAGGGCAGGCAGCTTGAACCCACATCTGAGCCACATCAGGCACACGATGTGCTGGGAGCTGGAGACAGACTAATTACAGGCAGCAGCGCCGGCTGCCCAGCAGCTCCGCTATTTCCAGGCAGTGACTCAGGCTGCCTGTGACAGGCATGAGTCAGGGCTGAGCAAACACGGCCCTGGCAGCTCGGCCTGCTGGACCAGCAGAGACACGGCAAACCTCAGCCTCAGATGGCAGCTCCATAAAAACTCCATCAGCCCTAAATATAGATGCAATGCCAACACAGTCGTGGCAGCACCAGCAGCAGCAGATGGGTCCTGGCAGGGATGGCCAAGATGTCTCTYCGTCACGCCTGGAGAGATGTGCCACAGCCCTGTCCATGTGATCCCACCCAGTCCCTCATGGCAGAGACTGACCAGAGTTTTGCAAAGACAGGGGCACCACCATTTTGGCCGGTAGCCCTGAGGCCATGCTGGCCCCACCAGCTTCCACAGGCTGCTGTAAACTGGGGGCTTTGTAATCCCAGAGAGCTGCTGAGCACCGCCGGCTGATCCTGGCCACAGCTCCCCCCAGATAAGCTGGCAGTCTGGCAGCTGTGGCAAATCCCCAAGAAGCAAAGGCCAAGTTCTAAAGCAGCAAAATGATAMAAGGTATTTTCAAAGAGGGTGCCCTACACTCACGCATACCCCCTCCCCGCCCCAAGGCTCACCAGGCGCTCCATCTCCTGCTCCCGAACGCGCTCTTGCTGCTGCCGCCGGTGGTACTCCAGCAGCTCGTCCTCATTGTCACTGATCTCAGTGATGCTGTTCTTGCGCTCCCGTGACCCCGCCGGCAGCCGTGGGTCCCCCAAAGGCTTCCTGGGGGCGCGGGGGCTCCCCCGAGGTGAGGGCACAGCTGGGGAGCACAGCCCATAGGCTGGGCTCAGGCAAGTGCTGAAGCTGGGCCGGCGCGTGGGGTTCTCCGCCAGCAGTGCGGGTGAGGGGGTCCCAGCACCTTTCAAGTCCTTTGGGCCCTTGCGCCTGGCACGGGGACTGCCAGGCACCTCCCTGCCCAGCCGGGGCTGTGGGGAGGGGGTGTCAGGGGCTCCYCGGGGGCCGGCAGCCTGGCGTGACAGGGAGGGGCTCAGGGGAGGCAGCTCCCGCATGCTCTCCGTGTTCCTCCGAGCCAGCCGCGGGCTCTCGGGGGGCTGCAGCCGGGCCTCCGGGACTGCCCTGCTCGGGGGCTGCCGGCTCGGGGCCACGGAGCCGCGTGGCTCCCGGAAGGGACTGGGGGGCCTTTCCTGCAGGGCCACTCGTGGCCGTGGTGCCAACCTGGGCGTCAGCCGGGGGCTGCCTGCCTGGTGGTCCCCAAGTATCTCAGCTGGCCAAGGCTCACTGGAAGCCACAGCAGGCAGAGTGGGAGGCTGCACGGTGTGGTTGTAGCTGGAGGAGCGCAGTGGGACGAGCGGGGGCACAGCTGGGCCCTGCTCTTGACTGCTGAGTGAGGGGCTGGTGTGGCTGCTGCTGCTCGCTGGGGAGGAGAGGGGAGAGAAGTTCTCATAGCTGGAGCCCCCCGAGGCAGCCCCAGGGCTGGGTGGAGGGGACAGGAGGCAGCGCCCACCCCCATTCACCACAGGGGAGAAGGGGGATCGGCCACAGGCAGGCGGCTTCTGGATGCTAGTGGATGCGGATTCCTCCAGCACCAGCGAGTCCATGATGTCTTGCAGGTCCTTCTCGATGGAGCTGACAAGTGAGCTGTGGCTGTGGCACCCACGCTCTGACAGCTGGTGGCCACCATTCACTAGGGCCTCGGAGTCTGCAGGGAAACACAGGAGCAGGCATCAGTGTGGTGTGACTCTGCCACAGTCCTTGCCTGGGCTGGGTCCTGCAGGGCAGCCTGGTGTCATTCCTCCACACAGCGTTGCAGAGTCAGAGCTGGGTTGCAGCCCCTCTTCCCTGCACCCCAAGCTGCCTGCCACCCACTGCCACCGTTTCCCACTGCCGGCTGGGGAGCCGGGCCAGGGAGGAGGCTGGAATCCCACTAGCCCCATCACCCAGGAGACAGAAACTTGAGAGCACAGCCCAGCGGCCCTCCCTGCATTTCAGCTCCCAGCTCCACTCCCTGGAGTGTAGCTGCCTGTGCCACCCACTGGCATCCACCACTTGCCCCTGGCACACTCCAGCTTCCCAGCAAAGCGTCAGAGATGAAACAGTCAAAAGCTGCTGACCTGCAGTGCGTCTGGACCCACCAGCACGTCGCCTGCAGCCTCCCCGCACCCCCAGCCAGGGTGCTCCCGCCTGGGCTGCCCCATCTTCTGTGCGCAGCCCCGATGTGCCTGTCACTCAGGGGACGAGCGAATCACAGCAGGCACAGAGCCCAGCCAGGACAGCGTGCCACCGTGGCTGCGTCACCCCTGGCACCCAGCAGCTCCCCCAGGGCAGCTCCCCCATGGCAGCTCCCCCATGGCAGCTCCCCCATGGCAGCTCCCCCATGGCAGCTCCCCCAGGGCAGCTCCCCCATGGCAGCTCCCCCACGGCAGCTGGCAGTGCCTTTGTGGCCGGAGAGATGTGCCGCAGCCCTGTCGGCGTGATCCCACCAAGTCCTGCGTGGCAGAGAGTGACAATGCAGGGCCCACACGGGATGCTGCGTGGTTGCATGATGCTCCTCAGCCACAGCACCTCCCCRCGTCCCGTCCCCCAGCTGCGGGCATGCTGCCTTCCCAACACACACGTGGCATGGGAAGGCAGCCAAGCTCCTCTCCCCGTGCCAGGGCACGCTGGTTGGGGCAGGGATAAAGGCTACCAGCCCAGGGATCACTGCTGGAAATTTGGACATTCCCAGGAACTGGACACAGTACTGACACCTGGTCCACTGCCCCACGGGCAGGCAGACACAGCAGGATGAGCTCATGAGATGAAGGACAGCAGCCAGGGAAATGGCCTTCACAGCCCCAGCATATAAACACCCGCTTCCAGGCAGTCGGGGGGCCTCCGACGGGCAATGGCTCTGCCATGGCCAGGGCTGGGCAGAAATGAAAGCCTCAGTGTCCCCACAGTCACCCTCTTTGAGGTGATATTAATCATTAACAAATGCCAGTGCAGCTACTGTACCACGCTGAGCTGATGGATGGCACATCTGCAGCCGGGTGTGAGCCCTACTCTGAGTGCAACATGACAGGGCTGAGAGCGTTAGGCACTTGGGAAGGCTGATGGCACAGGTCAGGGAGCACCTCAGCATCTGCCCCGCCCCATCTGGGACAAGGGGGGTCACCTACTTTCTGGTAGCCCATAGAGAGCCGCTGGGCTTCTGCCCCGTGCTGGGATCATGCTCTTAATCCACTTGGCCTCAGCAGGRTGGTTGAAGCGGAGGAAGGTGGCCTGGCCCAGGCAGATGACGCACCCTTGGGAGAGAGAAGAGARGGTTCAGCTGCCAGCCAGCAATATCAGAGTGGTGCTGGAGAGTGCAGAGAAGCAGTCAGGCATTGCTGGCCCTAAGATGCGCCCTCGGAAGGGGAGCGGGCTCCTGCTGTCAGCAGAGGCTTAGGGGGAGGCTGAAATCCAGGTCAGTGCCGGCAGCTGACAGCAGCGCATCTCAGGCGCACGCACAGCTGGGGTCCCCGCCGGGGGCCACGGGGACTTGGCTGCACTCCAGGGCTTGCGTGTCTGCCAGCTGCCAGACAAGACAGCTCCTGTCCCTGCTTGCAAAGCGTCTCTTCTGGGCCCAAAGCAGCAGCCCTCTTGGGGCAAGACTGCCAAGCAGCCCCGAGGAGGAAGGCAACTCAGGAAGGGGAGCAGAGCCGTGGGCTGCCCACTGTCCATCCACCTGCTGCCCTTGGTGCTGGGGAGGCATGTGCTGGCAGCGGGGAAGATCAGGCGGCTAGAAAGAAGGGTGCTACCGACACACCCCACTTTGAAGCGCCTGCCAGGGCCCTGGAGACAGTCTCGCTCTGCAACAACAGCCGCGGCTGAAAATCCCTTGCCGGAGGGGATGTGTTTTTTGGAGCACGCGTCAGCCCAGCTCACAGCAAGGTGAGCGAGAGGCAGTACRGATTAACTGCCATCGCGGTGGCCTGGTTCCCCTGCCTGAGCACCAGGGCAGGACAGAGTCCTGCTCACCCCGACTCAACGAGGGCATCCTGCCTGCCAGGGGACAATGCCAACGCCCAGCCTGGCAACGGCTTCCCCGGACAGATGCATCACTGCCCYGCGCCCTTCCCCGGTGCCGGCATCAGTGAAGCCACAGGTCACCCCAGCAAAGCGAGTAACCAGCAAGCTGCACCCAGCGCATCGGCCTGACAGCCCCGCAATTGATCCCGCTGTGGCCTGGCACACAGATGCTGTCCCTGCTCTGYCGTGTCCCTGCCATGGATGGGCGGCTCGGCTGACCCCCGCCCGCACCCCGCAGCCCGGCACGGCCCTCGTTGTCTCCTGTGGGATCCCGGGACCTGCCAGGACTCCGCGGGYCCTCGGCCGGAGCCTCCTCCGGCGGCCACGTGGCTCCATTGTCCCCGCGGGGACGCCGAGGCAGCGCCCACGCGGGTGGGTCCCCCCTCCCCGGCAGGGACGGGGACAGGGCGGGGACCGCAGCGCCACCGCCTGCGGGGGGCACGGGCTGTGTGACCGCGGGGAACGGCAGCGATCCCCGCCCTGCGCGGACACGCGTGCTCGGCAGCMCCGCACTCACCTCAGCGCCCGCACCGCCGCCGCCGCCGCCACCGCCCGGGCAGCGCTGCACCGCCCCGGGGAGGGGCCGGGGGCTGAGCTTCACCCGCTCCGCCCGAGGGTCCTCCCCGGGAAGCGCCACAAGGCTGTGTGGGGTGGGGATTGCCTGGGAAGCGCCTTAGGCTTTGTCCACGCTCCCTGGGAGCGGCCGTGGGGGCGCGGCCGGGTCCGAGCCCTGCAGCCACGCAGACCGGCGGTGTCCCGGCAGCCATCCGAGGGAGGACACCCGAGGTGTTTTCCTCTGTCATCTCCCTTCCCAAAGTCGCCTCAGCATCTCCGCCGTTCTTCAAAACCCGCCCGCCTCTCTCCCTTCCCATCTCACTTGATGCACGCAGCAAAGCGAGCTCTCAGACTGTGCCAGCACCTGTCAGGGTCCCGCCGCAGAGCACAGAGGCCAGAATTATGCCAGCTGGGATATGCAGTTACAGGATGGCTCCTCAAACACCCCAATATTCAATGGCACAGCTCCACGGGCAAAGGCTCCGGTGAAGCCCAGCCTGTTCCTACCTTGTGTGAGGTGCACGGGCCGCTGCAGTGGCACACCGTCGATAGCGCAGGCATTGCCRCAGGGGTGCAGGGTGAGTGTCCCCCGCACGTTCTCAATGTAGCAGTGCTGGGGCGCCAGCCCGGGGCCCTGCAGGACGATGTCTGTCGCGAGTGTGCCAATGGTGGTCCTCCCTGTCAGCAGAGAGGACGGCTCAGTGTCTCTGCCGCCAGCAGTGGTGCCCGTGGAGACCCCCTGGCACTCACCTTCCTCCAGGGGCAGGAGTGTGATGGCAGTGCTGAGCCGGCCGCTGCCCAGGCTCACCAAATGCGGCTTCTCCGTTTGCACTTTCAGCCCCTTGCCCGTGTCGATCAGGTCCAGGGAGCTGTTCTGTAGGAGGAGAAAGAGGGATGGTCACAGCTCCCGCAGCTGCAGCCCGTTCCCTTGCMCTGCCCACCTAGCTGGGCTCCTCCAAAATACCACACAGGCARGGCCAGTGCCCAGGCACAGCCACATGCTAGCAGGACTGTCCAGAAGCAAGACACAGGAGAGGAGAGCTGTGCTGTTTATCCCGGGATGCAGAGGTGAGCTGCCGCGGGGGCTGAAGATCCCTGGGACTTGGGCTGCATCTAAGAGGATCCGACCTGAGCGCCGCTTAGCTCAATGGGCTTTGCTGACGATCCCATAAYAGGATTGACTGAGACTGAGGAGAGGCAGGAGGACCGCGTCCGTGCCAGTGCTAGGGCTGGCTGCAGAGGAGGATTCCCAGGTTCCCCTGTTCCCACAGAGCAGAGGTCCTGTGATSCTGTGTGCTCACCTGCATGACAGTCTGGACTCTGTGGGTTGGGCTGGTGGGGGTCCTGCCAGATGCCTCCATGGTGCCTTCTTGGAGACGTCGGATGGTACCAGACACAGGCTGCCAGAATGTGAGAATGGCAGTACAAGTGACCACACTGGGCACAGCCTTTGTTTATTTTTCCTGCACATCCCGGACAGCAGCTCGAGCACAAACCCCACTCATTCCAAACTAGCAGTTACCAGCAAAAGGATTACTGTCCTGATCTCCTGTCTTCATCATGTCAGCAGCTGCCTGAAGCCAGTGAGCATCCCCACCTGCCAAGGTATGCATCCTACCTAGGCACACATCACCATCTGCCCAGGGATGCGTATGTGCCAGGTGTCAGGACAAGGCATGCCGAAAGGAGAACAACACACATGGGCTCAGTTTTGGGGACATGGTGTTCAAAATGCATGCTTTAAACGCCAAGAGCTGTGGGCAGCCAGACCCCAATGGCTGCCAGTGGAAAAGGATAGAAAAGCACAGGATTTGGCTGCTCCCAGCAACACTTGCCTGTCATGCATGGCACACCAGGGCACCCCTGTGCATGCCCAGCTCTGGCACCCAGGCACACGCCTCTGCTCACATACAGCCCAGCAGCAGCTCCTGGTGCACGATCCTGGCTGAGTGCTCCGTATCCCTGCCCATGTGGCCCACAGGCCTGTGGCCAGCAGACAGGGCCACCACCCATGGAGCAGCCATGCTGCCACACATTCTCTGTGTGAGCGGGAGGCAACTCGAGAAGGAACAATTTCCGTCACCCGGCGCTGAGGCCATGGCGGGATGCTCCGGGGATACTAAATTTACCGTCTGCTGCTCCCCATGTCCCTCCCTTCCGCCCTGGACTAGCTGACTGGGGCTTAACCCTTCCTGGGCAGTGCAGATAGCGAGTGCTCCAACCCACTTAGGACATSCCAGTCTCGGGGCCACCAGTAGGAGCCCCGAACTCAGCTCCTGCCAACATCCCCCACTGTCCCGCCAGCCCCCAAGGGCCCCCCCAGCTCGGTTAGCACTGGGCTCAGCTGCGGGGGCGAGCGAGTGGCTATTACACACTATGGAAAAAATGAAATGCTGGAAAACACCAGGCATGCGATCCATGACTGGGAGGAAGCCCGGGCGCCTCCTGCTACACCAGGACTGCCTGCCCCACAGCAAGGGCTCCGTGGGGACTACAGCCACCCCACGGAATGAGAACAGCTCAGGTGGGGCAGGTACCCCGAGAGCAGTTCACGAGTGCTCACCGGCTGCCGAGGCAGGATCCCTGCTCTCCCTTACCTGCCACCTGGTCCTGGCGACGAGCGGGACTCTCTGTGGCAGGGTGCCCATGTTCCCCAGGCACTGGGGTACTGCACTTCCCAGCATCTGGAGACCCCACAGCCCAGCCGAGCCCCTGCCCCTCACTTACACCCACGTCCTGTCACAATATTCAGGAAGGAGGAAAAGCCAGGAGGGGYCAAGCTGCTGCATAGGAAGAGACTGGGGCCAGGGTGGGATCTTGCGCCGATGTTAACCCCTTCCCAGCACAGCTGTACTGGTGAGACCTGGTAAGAACCGTGGGGGCCATCCCGGCCACTTGGGGGATTGTCTCGCCTGTTGGGGTTTTGCCCAGCTCCTGCTGCCYGAATTCTCCACCCAACACCCCCCATTCCACAGGCAGCCCTGCCTGCCCATGAGCTGGAGGGTAACCCTGGCATCCCACTGCATCCCGATAGCCCCAGTCTCGCAGCCTTGCCCTCCATCAGAGCCCCTCACCTGGCTTGGCAACACACAGGGAATGCTTGCTGTCACCCCAGCTCGTCCTGCAAGGGGATGCAGCCCCTCTCCAGCCGGCTCTGCTGTAGGAATGCGGGGCGGGAGCGTGGCYGCCCCAGCCGGCGCCCCACTGCTCGGACGGACAAGGCAGCCTTTCTTCTCCCGCCGCCGCCTGCAGAACGCGCCACTTGTTCCCTCCGTGGGAAGCGGTGAAGGCAGCAAATGCCAAGGGGTCGGGCTCGGTTACCACCAAACAGCCCACGGTCCTCATGCACCCCACACAGGGCTGCCTACTCAGCCCCAGCCTCCTGGAAGACAAAAGCCCCTTTCTTCACCTGGCACAAGCCAAAAGCCTCACCTGGGAGGACGCCCAGCCCAACCAGGGCAGGGGCCCTGCTAATGCTGTGCAGGCTGTACACGGACATGCTGCCCCATCGTGCTCCCAGGGAGCACCCCATTGCCCACAGGCTGCAATCTGCCTGCCTGCCCTGTGCCCACCTGAGCAGGGGAGTTCTGGGGGTCCACTCCGGCCTGGCATGCTGCTGCCCACCCAGACCCAAGCTGGGCACAGCACATCCCGACTCACCCACCTTCAGGTACCAGCAGACCTCAGACTGCACTGTGCACCAGGACACGGCCAGCCCGTGCTTGTGAAGGAGCACAGCCTGGCAGGCCATGCCATGCAGTGTCAGCCGTGCTGGATGCAGCAGCCTGGCAGAGGCGGGCGCATGGCACCCTCTTGCATGGCCTCTCATCCCCACTGCTTGTGGCTGGCTGGGTGAGTCACGGGAGGAAGCCTGAGTGSCTGAGCTATTGGGTGCACACAGTGGAGCCTCGAAGCCTCCATACAACTTGGCTGCCTGTTTGCTCCCCATCTGCTAATGCACTTAGGGCGTGCTCACCCCTTCCCACACCCTCTGCCCTGRTAAACAACTGGCTCTTCCGCCGGCAGCTGGGAAAGAGGAGTCTGTCTCCTGCACAAAGCCAGAGGCGCACGAGAAGGCTGCTCCTGGCGCTGCCTCCCAGCCTGGGGCTGACAACTGAGCAGGGGAGACTCAGCCAGCCCCATGGCACCCAGGCGAGGGATGGTAGGGGCTGCATTGCAGTTGCTGGGACAACGCCATGATCCTGGCAATAACACCACCATAAATCAGCCACCGGACAGCCCTGGTGGGAGCCGAGGAATCCTGGCCACACCCGCTGATTTCATCGCTCCTGGGATGTGCTCCTGCACCACTGCAACACATCTGTGCTCTGGCCAAGGCCCTGACACTGCAGGCTCTCCACAGAGTGCTGGATGTGCTCAGGTCGGGGAGGGTGTGCAGCTCTGCCCAGCCCTCCCCAAGGCAAGCCAGCTCCAAGGGCTGCTGAGCCATGAATAGGCCCAAGCACTGCTGCACTGACCCCAGCATCAGCACGTGCCTCCGGACACCACAGYGCAGACAGCACAAGCTCCAGACCCCTCACATGACTGCACAATGGAGAGCTGCTCCTCAAAATGCTCTTGTATCTAATGACAATTTCTCACTTGCAGGCCAGAGGTGCTCAGCAAGGAGCATCTGCAACTCCTGCTAAAGGCATCTTGGGGACCATGATGCACGATAAATTTGATGTGTCTTGAATCCAGCCCCTGGCACAAACCCAYGAACCAGCCCTTTGTTTGCTGGGAGAGGGATGGGATAAACCTCACCTCTCCAAATCAGACATTGATCACCCTCCTCTTTCTGGCTGCCAGCAAGGATCCCTTGCCATGCAGTTCTGTGGTTCCATCCCCCTGCATGGTGCCCTGCTGCCCCACATATACCAACACATGCATCATGCATCACACCCAAATGTACGAGGAGTTACCAAAAAAAAGTACCCACCCGTCCGTGCTGTCTTGTTACTGCCTGTGGTGCCCCCTGCAGCCTCTGCCTTGTGCTCAAGAGAGGSCTGGGGACTTGCAGGGCAGCTGGAAGAGTGGGACACACAGTGGCCCTTCAGCACAGCAGCTGGACCTTCTGGGACTGCCAAATTCCTCTGGCCTTCTGACAGCAGCTGCAGGGGCTGTGGCTGGAGCGTGGCAGGAAGCTGGAGTAAACAAGGTCCAGCCCTGGAGCAGGGTCCAGCCAGGCCAGTTCTGTTCCCAGGCTCCCCAAGAGGTGTCAGAGACAGCGGGGYGGCCTTGGGCCAAGCACCATCTCCTTTGCCCATGAGCTGCAGCAGGATTTGGGGATGGGAGAACCTTGTCCAGCCCYCTTCCCCTACCGGGCTGCTCTCGGGGCTCCCACACCAGCAAACTCACCACTGACGTGGACCACCGGATCTGGACCCGGCTCCCAGTCCACCCACACACCACCAAAACATTGTGCAATGATTGCTTTTATGGCTGACCATGTTTTTCCTACTTCCCTGTCTGCAGCTCCTTTCCTGCACCCCTCCTAGGGTGCCCCAGGGAGCAGGGAGTCCCAGCATGTCCCACACTAACATGGGYCGAGGTACCCGAGCCCCCTTTCTCTTTCCCCCACCACATCCCGAAGTTGCCCCTGAAGCACTGGGGACCCTTGAGTTACAGGACATGCCGACCCCAGCCCCAGAGCGTCCCAAGGTCAGTGTTGACTGGAGCACAAATGGGGGAGGTCCCACCCATGCCAGCGGCTGCTCACCTTCACTGCCCCGCTCCGCCAGCCCTTCCCGGGCTCTGCCAGCCCTTCCCGGGCTCTGCCAGCCCTTCCCGGGCTCTGCCAGCCCTTCCCGGGCTCTGCCAGCGCTCCGCTCTCCCCAGCACTGCCCGCCCCGCTGTCTCCGCCCCAGCCTTGTCCCCATGTCCCGCCCCCGCCAGCGCTGACCGCTCCCGGCTCCGGAAGGAACTCACGACCCCCAGCCGGCTCCTTTAACAATACTTTATTTGATTAAAGACTCAGAATTCTCTGTGTACACTGGAATGTGCTCTATTCCATAGGCCAGGATCATACAGGATTACAAAAAGTGGGGATCTCGGCTCATTTTAAATATCACCCTCCAATGAATGTTAAGAAAAAAAAAGCTCCTTGGATGCTTGAACTAACCTTGACTCCATTTTAAAAATCATACAGACAAGCAGGTATGGAACAGGACTGGGTTAATAGGATTCATTGCCTACTTTGCTAGGAAAGAGGGCTTGCCCTCTCAGGACAGGACCAGGGTTGATTTCCTCTCAGGTGCTGCCAGCAGAGGGGAGACCACGAACTTCTTTGGCAGAGGACCGCAGGGGCCCGTGACAGGCTGGCTGTCTCTCACAGAGCACAGTACGTGCACTTTTAGGGCCATTGCCTTCCACCCGCACTCAGGCCCTCTGGCTGCAGAGGTGAGGTGTGCCATGGGGCAGGTGATGCTCCAGACAGGCCCCGGCCACGCAGGTGCGATGAGTCGTGAGGAGAGTACAGGTCTCTGAGATGAGGCAAATAATGCCAGTGAGGCAGCAGTAGGAGAAATGGCTAGAAGCAGCCCCACATTCCCTGGAAACCAGCATTTTCTTCTCCCACACCTGCCAGTGCTGAAGCAATGCYGGTTTGAGAAAGATCCTGAAACGCAGGCCAGTCATGAATCATGTCAACCAGGCTCCACAGCTCTTTTCACCCAGGCAGGCAAAGCCTTCTGTCTCCCCAGACACCAAATAGGCCTTGCAAARGATACACATCTGGTTCTAACCTAACTAAACTTCCTCTAAATCCTGGCTTGGGAAACAGCTGTGGCAGACAGTGAGAACATAGTGCCCTTTGGATGCTCTCCCCACTGCAGCAGGAACCAGAGCACCTGCAGCTAGGCCACTGCCACACAGCAGAGCTGGAGGAACAGCAGTAACTGTGCAGGGCAAAATGACTGAACCTCTGGGTCCCTGTCCCTGTGCTCCTGCCATAACCTCCCAGCCTCGGGGGCCAAGGTCAACTTGCCCAGCTTCCACCAGATGGAAGGGTCAGGAGCAGCAGGTGGCCCCACGCAGGACAACCAAAGGCCAAGGAGAAATTAAAATGGCAGCACCAACAATGAACAGCACTTGATGCTTCAGGAGAGAAGAGAATGATGTCTGGTTGGCTCTGGACCACGCTCCGAGCATCTCCGGGGGTGGGGAACATGTCAAAGTCAGGCTCTCTGTGGAGATCTTGCTTTTCTGCCAGTCAGTAAAAATCTGCCAAAGAAATTTGTGGCCTTTCCCCCCACGAACACATCACTTCTCTGCAAAAAATGTCTGTGACCCAGGAACACTGCAGATGGCAGACAGAGCCACATGTCTTAGCAGAGGGGGCTGTGGCGTTCCCAACATTCAGAATAAACGTCGGCCTCAGGGTTTTTTTTTTTTAATTTAAAAATTTCTTCCTTTGCGCGTCCCCACATCTGGCATTACAGGATTTCGTACTTGTCCACCAGGAAGGTGTTTTCAGTGGAAAACCTTACAGGGCTGTTCCCATCTACCTGGGTCACTTTGGTAACCTGTGGAGACAACATGCAACGTTAGCACAGCATTGAACACTGCTCCCTAGCACAGCAATGCCATCCCTCCCAACACCCTGATGACCATGAGGACACAACCAATCTGGTGCCTTCAAACCGCAACTCAGCCCTGAAACAAGGATCTTTGCTCCTAGGAAACCTTAAAGAGGGGAGGGATTTTCACAGTGGTCTCTGCTGAGGGGCAAAGCCACCGGCTGCACTTCAGTGGGGACAGACAGTTGTATGCTGGGCAGTATTTTGGCTAAAAGGCTGATGGATTCTCCAATGAAGTCTGAGGGGAATTAATGATTACTCAGAGGCTTGAAGACACAACTGAAACTTCAGGCAAACTCCAA